CCCTAACAGCAGACTTTCCCATCGCGATACACTTTTTGATTTCCTGACTGCTGGTGCCAAGAGTGTTGACTGTGGAGCCGAGCAAACTGAAGCTATGAACAATCTCAATCTCTATTAACGATATTAACGATAGTGTTTGAAAATTTCCACATTCTGTTGGATCTCCTTTTTTGGGGGATGGAAATAAATTTGGATCTCTTCCATGTGCCTGGAAGTTACAAATTTCTTGGCATAGATTACAAAGCATGTCCAGGGCTGCATCTATTTGTTGAAATATTTCAATTGGTTTCCTATAAATTCCTTGGGCCTTACTTTCATCTGTAATATCATGAAAAGATGTTCTTGTATCAAACATAAAGAAAAATAATTAAGGCAACATGAGGCAATAGTAATGAAGGAGGAAGTTAATTTGACTGTGTGGGTCACAATAAGGGGGATTATGTGACACTGAATCTATTGGTTACTTCTATAATGGGGAAATGTCTTTCATCTGCTCTTTTCTGTAAAATCCTTGTCTGTTAGATACTGTTCTAAAGCCGAGCATTCAAATTAAGACAGACTCGGAAGTACCCACTTCTAAAATAACAGGCCTTCAAAATCCTATATAGAGCACACTTAGAGTAGACTAGCAGATTTGGCAACTGAGGCTGAGTCCTCAAATTTGGAAACACAAAGGAGAAGGAACAGTTGTAAGCAGAAACTAATGACCGGAACACGGAATGTGAGAAGTATGAATGTAGGAAAATAGGACATTGTTAAGAAAGAAATGGCATGTATAAATATTGACATACTACATACTGGAAAAATTAGATGGGTTGGCATGGGATATTTTGAATCAGACAATCATATGACCTACTATACTGGAGATGGGAAAAGTCAGGAAAAACTTTCATAGTTAAAAAAGTCACTTCTAGTTCCATCATGAAATACAATGTTGTACCTACAACCTTAGGTTATGTTCAGGAAGTTATATTTCAGGAGGACCTGAAACGCTTGCTGCAGAGGGTCAAGGACTGCAGCCTTCAGTATGGATTGAGGCTCAATGTCAAGAAGACAAAGATTCTC